AGTAAACTATTATTACGAAAAATAGGGAGTACCAAAGATGAAAATGGACACACTCTAATTTCCATCTTATTTTCACGAAATGGACTACAATCTAGAGGTAAAAAAAACTTAACGGAAAATGGTTCCATGTTAGTACCTAGCTTAGAGAGTGACTAAAAAAAAAAGGTTAAAATTTCAATCTTGAGGAACTAAATAACAGTTTTTTCTTTTTTCTTTTTGGGTTAAAGGACTAAAATAGAACTCCATAGAGAAGTTGAGCAATTAAAATAAGAGTTTTTAACTTATTAAATTATTTCATCTATTATCAATTAATTTTAAATTAAAAATTAGTCTTCCATTTGGCCTTACATATTAAATTTTCACGTAATATTAAAGTAAATTCCATTTTTGTTAAGTTAATCATCATAAGAGTGTTTAGTAAAATTTAAAAAGTATTTGCTTAAAAATAATTTTTTTTCTTATAAATTAAAATTTTTATTTTAAAAAAGCAAAAATTAACTTTTAAAAATAATTTTAAATAATTTTTAAAAAAATTTAATCACATAACTTTTTTCAAATTTATTTAAAAACACCTTTTAAAGTTAATTTAAAAATTTTTCTCTTATAATATTATTGAGGGATGAATTTGTATTGTTTTAGAATTGATAATATGTGCAATGTCACATTAGCTAGATCAACTTTGAATTTGTGACTAGAAAGGATCCACATGATCTATTTTCACATTAGACATACTATATTCTATTTTCTGTTAATGATCGTAATGAAATCAACATTGCAAGAAGTCGCACTCACCCACTTTACGAGTAACATTACAAACATGATCTACTTCAACATTATTCTCATATACATGATTAGATGCGGCTACATTTATTTTTACAACATGACTGGACATTTGTGATGGTCATAATTTCTATTGCAGCATTTGCTGCTACATTTATTGACTCCTAATAATGAATAAAGAGCCTATTCTCCTACATCTACATCTACATGGTTACTACCAAAGGATAACGAGCTGATTTTATTACATCTACATAGCTCTTGATAATGGACAAAGGGCTAGACATCTATTTTACATATCTTTATTATTGGTTCCCATCAATGGACAATGGGCTAATTCTATTACGTCTGCACAACTCTCAATCATTAACAAAGGGCTATACTTGCTATTTTACTTAGCCTCCAAGAATGGGCAAAATGCTATATATCTCTATATAGTTTTGTTACACCAACTCTTAGAAACAAATAAAAGGTTAGATCTCTCTACATATTTTATTTTAGTGGCTCTCAAAAATAGACAAAAAGTTAGCGCAACTCAATACAATTAGTATAAGGTCGTTAACAGTTGTAACCCTACAATTGGTTGCAATGGCTACCCTTCAACAATGAAAATCCATCAAGTTATGGCTGATGGCTCCTTAGTGGTCGCCCGTGCATGGTAGTATGGTGCCCAACAAGCAAAAACAATCAAGACTATCCTCTAATGGTGTTAATACATTTAAGAAAGGTCATCGTTTTATTGTGGTATCACACCTTATTCATATCAGAGGCCATGAATGTGGCAAGCGTCCCCCTTCCATGAATAACACTTCACTCATTTTTATTATATTCATCATTATATTGAAGTTTTAAATTAGCAAGATTTATCCTTTTTGTGGCTTAGTGAATTATTGGGAATGCTCTTCCTTTTTTCCACATGGTTAACGCTCTAGCCATAGGCAAAGTTAGCCATTATTGTCCCTTTGGTTATGGGGGAACTATTCTTGGTTAACCCTATGATGCATATAATATGACCAATGATCATGCACATTATTATTCTTTTTACAAAAAAGGGCAAAACTATTGGTCGTTAATAATCTCGATCTTTAACATATTTTTACTATATTTTTACATGTTGACAAGTATTGTCAACTAATAGCACTTGGCTCAATAAAACAACACTATAGCACACATTCATATTATTTATTTTCTATCTTGGCACATCACCAATCATATACAGCACTATTATACAAGTGTTTCCCATGGCTAGTGGATAAAAAGGCATAATGATGTTTCTTCCCACCATCCTCTTTGACACACAAGGGAGTATTCTTCTTTAATGTAAGCACTTAATGTATTTCACACTTATATATTTGAACAAATCCTCATTCATATTTTGTCCTTTGATGTAGATGAACACCAAACCCATGAATCCAAACTCATGTGAATTATTCAGGAAAAATGATGGGAACAGTGGCTTAGCAAGCAGGAACAGATGAACGTAGCCCACTTGGCGAAATATGGTATACACACCAGCGAAGCTTAGGGCTAGTGATGATGCGCATCTTCGCTAGGAAAGGATGAGCAGCAAGTACATAAAGGCAAAACTTAATCTCGAAATTATATCGTTTGATGCTAATTAGAAGACTTGCAAGCCCATTAAAAATCAACTAGAGATCCCATTTGAGTCTCCATCACCGACCTGTAATGGTATTAAATACAAGGATGGCTGCATAAGTTTTATTACATGGGAAATTGGCAAAAGAGATTACATTTTGCTTGGGAAGTTTATCAAAATCTTAGACGAAGGCAATTTTACTAGTGGTGCTTAGTTACACACCAAATATGGCATTACCTATGGATATGAAGTTGCTAAGAATGGGAAGGTTCTAGTGGACCAATAGTCTTTCGCTAGAAACATTGGAGAATTCATAATTATACATCAAAAGTTTTCAAAAGTCCCTAGATCCTCCCAAAACTTGACACATATTCTCACACAACTCAAATATATTCGTTGGATTACTTGCTACTCTGGCCCCACAAAACCCAAATTATCAAAATGCCACTACTATATATATATTTGATTTTTTTTTCTTCATTTTTTGATACAAACATACAAAGAAGAAGATTTTTCAAGTTACACACAAGAGACACATTTTCTACTTAAAAGAAAAATCTTTGTCTTTAACCTCGACTTTCATACAAAATTCCCTAGAAAACCTTCATTGTACACATTTTTCTCTCATTTCTAGCCATACAAACTATTCTCCAAACTTATAGCTCAACATGGCCGGAAGATTTCATGTCATAGCTTGAGGATTTGGGTTGTTTTTCTTGAGCATCAAAGGATCTTGCAACAAAGTTAGCAACATAAAACAAGATCAAGTCCTCCATTAAAAGCCCTAACAATGGTCATCCTTCCTTCTTCCATAAGTACTTTCTAGTTTATTCTTCTTTGTTTTGTGCAAGTTTAAGAGAGTTATTGTATTTTAAGCCCCAATATGAGGGTTGCCCATTTTAGAATCAAAGTATTTGTCAAAGATAGCAAAGGGCACATTTATTGTGTTTATTATTATTCCACAATGTATTTAATAAATGTGCTACCCTTGCTATAATGCACATCACTTGTCCATTTTCTTTGGTAGTTGCATAATCCTGATATGATCTTGAATTTTCATCATCACAACTCTGCCTTTCTAGCTTGGCTAGGGAAGTTATATTTTCAAACTTTGCTAGAGAACTTTGTGTAGTTCATCTTCGTTGGATGAAGGGAAGAGGCTCGTATTACATAGTCTCTTGCACATGAAATAGGTGCAAGCCAAAAAACCCTTGTCATCTCTTGCAGAAAGACATCCTAATAAGCTTACATGTCATCTTTGTTACTGACTCATTAGCCTTTACCCTCAACAAATATTTTAAATTTATGTAAAAATATTTATTTTTAAAATTAATATATATTTTAAATTTTATCAAATAACCTCTCAGTAACTCGCACAAAATTTGTATCAAGTTTACACATAAGATAGCACCATAGAACCCGACGAGGGCTAATATTTGAAGTTGTGTTAAGTTGGGACAAAATTAATAATTAAAAGTTGCAAAATGAGCAACTACTCGCCAATGACCTAAGGGGGCCAAAGGCAATTTCATTTCGCTGATGGAAAGGGATTTGGTATTGGAGTAACATATTTTTGTTAGGGTTATGGTCA